ATTTAACTTTTTTATTTACCTGTTTCTGTGGTACTGGGAATCAAACTCAAGGCTTTACATATACTATGGAACTGGGCTACATCCCTAGCTTTAGTATATACTCTATCTTCCCTCCTAATAAATAGATCGGATTTATTGGAATATCTACACTGTCACAGAACTGTCTTGATTTCTGACAGCTCACAATTCAAAGCAAGTCTTCATTTTCTTAGACCCTGTCCAGAATTATCTAATGAAAACCCAAATACTGTACAAGAGTCTTTCTTCACTGATATTTCCCTAAGGGTGTGCTTTCCCCTTCTCTGAAATGAGTAATGGACACACCCAGCTTGCTCAAGTAGAGATCTGTTACTGGATTTTTTTGACTGAAGGGCATTGATAAAAGACATGTTTATAAAAGTAATTTTGTGTGTGTGCATTTGTGTGTATGTGTGCATGCATGTGCTGCTGGTACTGGGATTTGAACTCAAAGCCTCATGATTTTCTGTGAATGCTGGCATTCTGTCACTTAGGCCACATCTCTACTTCCAGGTTTTTAACTAGTTAATTGAAGAAAAGAGTTTCATGGTCTTCTCTGTCTGGCTTAGCTTTCAACCTTAATCCTGAGATCTCAGCATTCTGAATATAAGTAATTCTTAACCAAATAAATTTTCTTCCTTTTTTCATAAAAAGAAAAAAAAATCTTAAGGCATTCTGAAGTTGGAGATGAAATATGCCCCTACTTTAAATTATTAAAGGGATTTTAAGTAATTCTCTTTTTCCTATTTAATGTTCTTAAAAAATATAGTTCTTTTTTTTAAATCTAGAGTTTCACTTTAGGGAGGTTTTATGATTTGGTTTGTTTGTGGTGCTCACACCTGGTAAGCCTGCACTCTACCACTGAGCTACTCTCCTAGTCCATGTTATTTTTTTTTTTTTTTTTTTTGTCGGTCGTGGGGCTTGAACTCTGGGCTTGGGCGCTGTCCCTCAGCTCTTCAGCTCAAGGCGAGCGCTCTACGACTTGAGCTACAGCACCACTTCCGGTTTTCTGGTGGTTTTTTATTGGAGATAGGAGTCTCGTGGTCTCTCCTGCCCGGGCTGGCTTTGAACCGTGATCCTCAGATCTCAGCCTCCTGAGTAGCTAGGATTACAGGCGTGAGCCACCAGCGCCCGGCTTCCATGTTATTTTTTGTTGTTAGTTTTGTTTGGGTATTTCATTTGCTATAAATATGGTCTCACTATGTATCCCAGGCTAGACTGGAACTTGTAATTCTCCTGCCTTAGCCTCTTCAATACTGGGATTATAGGCATGTGTCAACATTCTTAGCTAAACAGTTCTTAACCTCCTGAGAACAAAAATCGATCTACTTAACATAAAACTTGCAGATTAGTGCATTTTTATCCAAATAAGTTACTAATTTACTCCAAAATAAATTGAGCTGGGTATAGTAGCTCATACCTGTAATTGTAACTACTTAGGAGGCCCAGGCCATACCTACTAGTGTGGGCAGTGGTGCTTGACTGTCATCCCAGCTACATGGCTAGATAAGATTAGAAGGATCATGGTTCCAGGCAAGTCTAGGCAGAAGAATCCTTGAGAATGCATTCAAAAGAAGAAACTGAGTGTCATCCTAACAAAGATGGAAAACAAAATTAGGTGGTTTGAGGTCCAGACCCCTGCCAGGACAAAAAGTGATACCCTAAGCCAGATGTATTGATCCAAAGTCTATAATGTTACTTAGGTAACAGAGATCTAAGGATATGTTTTGAAGCCAGCCCAGACACAAAGAAGTTTGAAAGCCATCTCAGCCAATGGCGGGGCATGGTGGTACATGCCTGTCTTCCTAGCTATAGGGGAAGCACTGTCTGGGCACTGTGGTATATACCTGTAATCGCCAGTGACATAAGAAAGTAGGAGGATTGCAGCCCAGGCTGCATAACTCAAAACTACCTCAAAAATAACCAATGCAAAAAGGATGGAACCAGATGCCAGTGGCTCATGCCTGTAATCTTAGCTACTCAGGAAGCTGAGACCTGAGGATCATGGTTCGAAGCCAGCCCAGGCATAAAAGTCCATGAGACTCTTGTCTCTAATAAACTACTCAGAAAAAGCTGGAAGTGGAACTTTGTCTCAAGTAGTAGAGTACCTTGTCTAGCCAAACAGTACTGAAAACAAAGTGAGAGGCCCTATCTCAGAATAACCAATGGAAAAAAAAAAAGTGCTGAAGGCATGGCTTAGCAGTTAGAGCATATAATTAATCACAAGGCCCTGAATTCAAAACCCAGTGTGTGTGTGTGTGAGAGAGAGAGAGAGAGAGAGAGAGAGAGAGCCTACAAGCTGGTTGCTGGTGGCTCACGCCTGTAATCCTAGCTACTCAGGAGGCTGAGATCTGAGGATCGCGGTTCAAAGCCAGCCCGGGCAGGAGAGACCGTGAGACTCCTATCTCCAATAAACCACCAGGAAACCGGAAGTGGTGCTGTAGCTCAAGTGGTAGAGCACTTGCCTTGAGCTGAAGAGCTGAGGGACAGCGCCCAGGCCCAGAGTTCAAGCCCCACGACCAACCGAGAAAAAAAAAAAGAGCCTACATTATGTTAGATATTGTGCTAAATACTGAGGTTACAAACTTTTTTAGAAAATAAAAACTAATCCTTGACTGAAATGGATGACCACAGAATAGAATCTAAGGATATTTCTCTAATTTTTTTTGTAATTAATTATGGGTCTGTCTTGCCTACACTGGGGGAGAGGTGGTGTGCATGTGTGTCCATTTGTCCATGCCATGTCATGTAATTGAGTTATCTGTGTGCTCATATGACTAACTTGGTGTTTGTTTTAAAAATATTCATGTAAATAGGTTTTTCCCTAAATCTTGGTCTTAATTAATCAAATAAGGAATTTTTATCAGCAAGGGATTTTCATTACATTTCTACACATGCATAGAATGTATCCTGATCAATTTCCCTTCCTCTATCATATCCCTCCATTCCCTTGCCCCTTCTTGAAATGATTTTAATAGTTTTCCAAATAAGGACATGTGTTTGTGCATGCATGTGTGTGCATATGTGTGTGCCAGTCCCGAGGCTTGAACTCAGGGCCTGAGTCCTGTCCATGAGCTTTATCACTCAAGGTTAGCACTCTGCCACTTGAGCCACAGTTCTACTTCTGGCTTTCTGATGGTTAATTGGAGATAAGAATCTCAGGGAAGTCAGGCGCCGGTGGCTCACACCTGTAATCCTATTTACTGAGGAGGCTGAGATCTGAGGATGGAGGTTCAAAGCCAGCCTGGGCAGGAAAATGTGAAACTCATCTCCAATAAGCCACCAGAAAACCAGAAGTGGCACTGTAGCTCAAGTGGTAGAATGCTAGCCTTGAGCTGAAAGAGCTGAGGGACAGTGCTCAGATCCAGAGTTCAAGACCCATGACCAAAAAAAAAAACAAAAAAACAACAGTCTCAGGGACTTTCCTGCTCAGATTGTCTTTGAACCATGATCCACAAGGCTCAGCATTCCAAGCTAGGATTATTGGCATATGTTACCGGCACCTGGCAAGGACAATTTTTTTCAGTATACACTTGGACTGTAGACAATTCACTGCAAAATCCCATTGTAGACTGTTGAAGACAGTCATTTAAAAATTGTAAAATGACACAAGCCAACTTAAAAATTGTCAGTGTTAGCCGGGTGCCGGTGGCTCCCACCTGTAATCCTAGCTGCTCAGGAGGCTGGATCTGAGAAATGTGGTTCAAAGCCAGCCCCGGCAGGAAAGACCATGAGTCTCTTCATTAAACCACCAAAAAGCAGGAAGTGGTGTTGTGGCTCAAGTTGTAGAGTGCTAGCCTTGAGCTGAAGAGCTGAGGGATAGCACCCAAGCCCAGAGTTCAAGCCCCACAAACAAACAAACAAAAAAAAAAAGGTCAGCGTTCTGTTTATGCTTGGTCATGTGTTCATTGAATTGATAAGTAGCCTCCAATTATTTTTCTTAAAAATCCTCCCTCCAGGCTGGGAAGATGGCTCAGTGGTAGAGTGCTTGCCTTGCATATATGAGGCCCTGGGTTCTTTTCCTCAGCACCACATAAGAAGAAAGAGCTGGAAGTGGCACTGTGGCTCAAGTGTGGTAGAGTGCTAGCCTTAAGCTGAAGAGATGAGGGACAGCATCTAGGCTGAGTTCAGGCCCCATGACCAGCCCCCTCCCCCCAAAAAAAATCTATCATCTGCTGTCATCAATCTTTTTTTTTGTCATCAATCTTAAACTCCAAAATTCTGAACCCCATTGTAACTGAAAATCATTTTGTAACTGATGTATCATCAAAACCAGATATGAACCAAAGTGTGGCCCTATTTGTAGTCTCTGGTTTTTCTGCCCTACTGAAACACTTGCATGATTTTCTTTAAAAATATTAAGGTATTTGATTACAATGGCTGCCCTAGGTTATGGCTTAGACACCAAATTACCTTTAAAAATTTTTTAAACTTAAAACTGACTCCACAGATTTTATTAGAGATTGTGGATGATAGATTGTAGGGATTAGTTCATATGAACAAAAAACAACTAAAAAAAAATCTAACCTTTAGTTGGGCTCCAGTGGCTCATTCATGTAGTCCAAGCTTTTCAGGGGGCTGAGATGTGAGGATCACAGTTCAAAGCCAGCCTGGGCAGGAAAATCCATGAGATACTTACCTCCAATTAACCAGCAAAAAGATAGAAGTACAGCCAGGCTGGGAAGGTGTCTCAAGTGGTAGAGTGACAGCCTTGAGTGAAAAAGTCAAAGGATAGTACCCACATCCTAAGTTCAAGCCCCAGTACCAGCACCAAAAAAAATAATGTGAAGGAAATCATTGAACTTTTCAATTATACAGTTAGGATGGGCTAGAACTGACATATTTTCTACAGGATCATCCAAAAACATTTTGTCTGTGTTTTGCTTATTTTTAGCATCACATTTTTCTGATATTTTCAAGCTTACTGCAGCAATATGTGTTTACTTGGACTCTTCCCTTCCATTTCTCCTTGTCCTGTGCAGATTATCAGCACCTGATGACCGTGGCAGAAGGCATCACTACACTTCTCTTCCCATTTCAGTGGCAGCACGTTTATGTGCCCATTCTCCCTGCCTCTCTACTACACTTTCTTGATGCTCCTGTCCCTTATCTGATGGGTCTTCAGTCCAAGGAAGGAACTGACCGTTCTAAACTGGAACTTCCTCAAGAGGTAAACTTCCAATGAATGATGAACCTTTTGCTGTGTGTTCATTCAAGGTCCAGATATGGTTCAGTAGCTTTGTCTTCCTAATGTGTCCTATGACAGTGTCCCATGTATAGCTAGCTTAGGGTCTGAGCCCTAGAACGCATGGTGGTTCCTAATGGTTGCTGCAACATAACCATTTAGCCTGGACAGCTGCGAGCCGATACCAAAAAAAAGGATAAGCATAAAATTTCATAATTTTTGAAGGTTGAGTAATAGTAGCATGATCTCATTGTTTTATTATTCTAATGACACTTCATTTTAAGCACAGTGTCCTAAGTTTAATATCCCTCTGAAATCATTGTTGTGAGGTGAATTTGTGTTTGTGTGTGTGTGCGCGCACACGTGCGCGTGTGTGCATGTGGACATGCACATGGGCCCCACTCCTGGGGCTTGACCTCACAGCTTCATGCTCTGACTTGGCTCATTTGCTCAAGGCTGACACTACTACTTGAGCAATACCTCCACTTCTGGCTTTTTGCTGATTAATTGGAGATGTGAATTTCACACTTTTCCTACTGGGGCTGGCTTTGAACCTCAGTCCTCATATCTCAGCCTCCTGAGTAACTAGGAGCTAAGCTGTTGATTCTTGGCTTGAATTTGACTTTTGACCTGTTATTATCTTCCAACTAGCTGGATTGATAATTGAAATATCAAATGCTTTATGCTCTCTCTTTTTTAAGTATGAGACTATTTTATCAGTCTATTCTAAATGCTATAAATTAGTATGACCAGCAAAACAAAAGTTTTATCCCTTTTTTGCCACCTTAATGTTACTATGTTTTCTGTGGGTTTTTTTTGTTGTTGTTGTTGTAATTCTTAACTCGCATATGTATGTGGGGGTGGGAAGATCATTGTGACATTTCCATGCATGTTTACATTGTATACCAATCAATCTCATCCCCCCCCCACACACACATCCTCCCCTCCCCACTTTCCCCTTCCTAAAGCAATTTCTACAGGTTTCATCATTTCTGGTTTTTGTGATGCAAATGATGTACTTCAACAGGATTCACCCTCCTTCATCCTCCTTGTTACCCCAAACCACTTTTCCTAGTACCTATCATGTGTACTATATATATTTAAGTGTTGCTTTTGTTTTTTGTGTATCTGGGTCTCATGCTTGATAGGCAAGCACTCTTACCACTGAGCCATATCCCCATCCCTGCACTGGTTATTTTTTAAATAGGTGTTACTTCCTGCTTGGGCATGTGCCTAGACATCTGGCCAACTATGCTAGCTTCCCATCATAGCTGAATGACTGGCAAGTGTTGCTGCATCCTCTGTTGAGATGGAATCTTTTTTTTTTTTCTGCCAATCCTGGGGTTTGAACTCAAGGCCTGGGCACTGTCCTTGAGCTTCTTTTGCTCAAGGCTAGCACTTGAGCCACGGCGCCACTTTTGGCTTTTTCTGTTTATGTGGTACTGAGGAATCAAAACCAGGGCATCATGCATGCTAGCCAAGCACTCTACCACTTAGCCACATTCCCAGCCTTAGCTGGCTTTGAACTGTGATCCTCAGATCTCAGCCTCCTGAGCAGCACCCATCTCACCCATGGAGTCATGCATCTAGGCATTCTACCTTTAAGCCTTATTCACAGCCCTGAGGTGGAATCTTGTGAACCTTTCTGCCTAGACTGGTCTGAAACTGCAATCCTCCTTATCTCAGCTTCCCAAGTAGCAAGGATTATAGGCAATGAGCCACCTCACTTGGCTCAACATGTTTAAGAGGAAAATAAGCACAAATTCCTCAGATCATTTTGAGGCTAATGTTTATTTTTAATGGCACTGAGAATTACAGTACAAAGCTTTGAAATGAAATATTGATGAGAGTCCTATTACATTATATTATTAGCTGTTTAATTAGCACCTTTCTTAATAAAAACCCTCTTGCTGTGCTTCACTTTTGTTCATGTTTCCCATAGAGATTCTCATTTTAATAAGTGAATTTAACACACTAAACCACAGTCATACTCAGTAATGATTCCTGTAATCATCTACTGTTACTCTTAATCTAATGAATGTTTCCATAAAAGAGAGCTTGACTCAAGCCAATATCAAGTACAGACATGTAGCATCCTGTTTGGACTTCTTTGCTTTCTCCTTCCTGCTTTGCCCTTTTCTCTGTTTTCCCACTTTTCTCTTTCATTAAATTAATCTAGTGTCTTGTGGGTTCCCAAGTAAAGCCTTAAAATTTTCTTTTTTTTTTCTTTTTTTTGGGGATCCGGTTGTGGGGCCTGAACTCTGGGCCTGGGCGCTGTCCCTCAGCTCTTCAGCTCAAGGCTAGTGCTCTACCACTTGAGCCACAGCGCCACTTCCAACTTTTTTCTTTTTGCTTTTGTGGTGCTTAGGAATCGAACCCAGGGCCTCGAGCATGCAAGGAAAGCACTCTACCACTGAGCCACCTTCCCAGCCCCAAAGCCTTAAAATTTTCAAGGAGAAAGACATAGATCTGCCAAATGAATTTTGTTTCAAGATTTAATGACATGTTTTAGTTTCTTGTTGCAATATATGTTAATCAAATGAATTTCTCTAAGACAATTTAAGTACATAAATAAGTATTGTTTTTCCATTTAACGAGAGTAATTGTTGAAAAGAATTTTATGCCTTCTTAATATTTTTGTAGCTGGAAAATCTGAGTCTATGTCTGCCCTTGGACTCTAAACATAAGTTAAAATTTCTAAAAGCTCTTGTGATGGCTATGATTTTCTCAGTTTTCAGCCAGGAGCTCAACACAATTTAATGTGTGTACACTAGTCTAGGGTAGAATGACATGAAATAGTCTGAATCACTGTGAAAATAGCAGTGCTGTGTAGAAACTAGAAATTAAGTGCATCATTATATGAGAAGAAAAGACTAGCAGTTTTGTCACTGTACTCATATCTTTGTGCAATGACATAATCTGCTGCACATAATTTAGGGGAGGAAGTAAATATTAAAATAGCCATTTTAAGTGAGCCCCAGTGGTTCATACAAGTAATCCTAGCTATTCAGGAGGTTGAGATCTGAGGATCAGATTTAAAGCCTGCCTAGGCAGGAAAGTTCTTGCAATTCCCTTACCTCCTATTAGCCACCCAAAATCAGGAAATGGAGTTGTGGCTCAAGTGGTAAAAAGCTCAGGGACAGTGCCCAGGTCCTGAGATCAAGCTCCAAGATACACACACACACACACACACACACACAGTTACTTTAAAAAGGAATTTAGCTTGTGGCCAAAATCAAGCTCCAAGACACACACACACACACACACGTGCGCGCACACACGCGCACGCACACACACACACACACACACACACACACACTTTAAAAAGGAATTTAGCTTGTGGCCAAAATCAGGAAATGGAGTTGAGGCTCAAGTGGTAGAAAGCTCAGGGACAGTACCCAGGTCCTGAGATCAAGCTCCAAGATAGACACATACACACGCACACATACACACACACACAAAGTTCCAAGATAGACACACACACACACTTACTTTAAAAAGGAATTTAGCTTGTGGCCAAAATCAGGAAATAGAGTTGTGGCTCAAGTGGTAAAAAGCTCAGGGACAGTGCCCAGGTCCTGAGATCA